CGCTCTTCCAACTGCCCCCTCCATTTCATATAGTCCCTTTAACCATCTTATTCACCAAATGACTAGAAACCCACCAAAACCTCTTTGTCCTAGTGGCTGGAAAACTTTTGCTGACTTTCCCTCCCCATTCCTCACAACAACACAGGAGCGTACCCTTGGGTTACCAATTTGCTGACCTCCTTCCCCCCCAAACACCCTTTTCCAAGCAGCTCATGCTGCCTAGGAAGGGGTCACCGATAGCTGCACGGGTGCTGCTCTGCTTGTAGGTGCCACACACCAGCAAAGGGGTATTAATGCTGACTTGGAAGCATTTGCAGACATGTTTCTTATCACCCCACTCCTCTTGTGCCCCCATCCTGTGTGAGGAAAGAGGCAGCTGACAAAAGGCTTGGCTAAAGGCAAGCATCTGTAAGCAGGCACTGCCAGGAAAGCCTCAGAGCTGCTCCCACACAGGACTGTTTCAACATCACCCACCCAGCACTGTCCACTGGCTTCCCCCAAAACTGCCAGGGCAAGCTTGCATTTGCAATTGGAACTTTGCACAAATTGTTGCAAGAATTAGAAGTTTGCAACAAAATGCCAGAAGGGCGTTTGTGAGACAGCCTGCACACAGTGCTTCACTGTGAAATGGGTCACACGCTGGGAGAGGGGGCGAGACGGGAGCTGACGACTCAGGAGCTCCCCGCCATTCCCAGAAGCACATTGACTCAGCAGATCAAGGGACAGGATAAATCCCTATAGCTCACCCGCTCTGCTCCCCACCAATTCTGAAGAGCCCCCACACCATGATTCCAGTTCATTACCCATTTTCCTTCCAACTTACCCACTCTGGGCTGCCTCTTCCCTAGGGATGAAAGTCCCACTGTAGATGTTACCACCGGAGGAGCTGGGCAAACTCCAGTTGTGACCTTTCTTACTGCTTTGCAGTTTACATATCTGTGTTTGGAAAACTTACGCAGGAGCTTACAGGAGGATTAATTCCTAGAATAAACACCGCAAGCCCTGCTGAAGAGTTTTATATAGCCTAGGTGATAGTATAACCATGTACCAAGGAACAGGCTGGGGAGTGGGGGCAAGGAATAAGGGGAAAATCATAGAACGGAGGGAGGAAAATAAGGGACCCTTGCCACTCTGATGACTTTCGAAGACTTTCTGCATTCACACAAGTTGGCATGGACAGCTGTGTCTACCACAGGGGACAAATCCATTTCCACCTGGGCTCGCTGCCCAAACGCCAGACAGAAGCTCATGTTGGTTGTACAAGAAATTAGGGTGTTTTTTTTTTTTTTCCACTCAGGTTGGTGTGTTTCTTACCAAGTTGCTACCAGATGCCTAGAGGAGGGCACACAGAGAAGGGCAGGGGGAGATGCAGAGCACAGCAAGCACAGGGAAAAATGCAGCGCTTCCGAAACAGAGCAAGAAGTGCCCCACTGTGTTTGCTCTGCACTTACGGCGTTGGGAGAGGTCCAAGGAGGAGAAGTAAATATTGTGAGAAGAGGTGGGGCTTCCCTTGGAGGTCAGCCATCACACGCTTCCCACCGGCCAGGTCCCAGCTAGCTCAGCCCTTTCAGGATGCTGGGGCCCTGCAGGCACCTGAACAAAAAAACAGGAGCAGAATGTGCCCCAGACCCCCACTGCATCATCTCCCACGGAGAGGTCTAAACCAACCTGCCCTCACCCCCAAGCCTTGGGGGAGCCATGCTGCCACCTCTCATCCCCTCCCAGGCTCGCTAAGGCACGCAGGGGTGCTGGATGCCGAGCTGGAGGACGTGGTTTTGCAAACCAGGCTGCTAGCTGTGGGTGGGGGAGTGACTGCAGCCCACGCGTTCACTGGGGCAGCCTGACCTCATTCATCGTTACTCCTGTGACTAGCGGGTGAGCAACCCAGCAACTCCCAGTGATCGCTTCCTTTCTAGATAGGAGCCCATGTACACCCTGCCTGACATTCAGTCTTTAAAGACTTTAAAGAATTAGCTGCTGCCTTTCTCCACCACTTTGGACTGTCCCAAATGGAAGCATTTACCCAGCCATCTCCATTTCCTCATCCATTCTAGCAGGGGGCACAGCTCAGGGAGTGAGGGGATCTCATGAGCTGCACAAGGTGGGCTTCCACCCCAAAGGAAGAAGAGCACTGCTGTCGCACGTTCCCCCAGGCCAGCTGACACAGAGAGGTCACAGTGCCTGGTCACACCAGCTGAAACGAGACCAACACCTCCGAGGAGAAGTCAGCTCAGGACACCACGAACTCATGATGCAAGAACACGAGCTTTTGAAACAGCAGGCTCACGTGGGTAGGGATGCCAAGGGGATGGCGTAGGCATGAACCCTGTACTTTCCGCGGCCCTGCAATAATGTCACCGCTACAACTGAGTGCACTCACGGCACTTCCCAGAAGGGAACAAAATGCCCTACAGCCCTGTGGGATGGCAGAAGCAGCTGAAGTAGGAAGGGGACTCGAGACCATCGGGTCAGTAGGAGATTCTGGAAAATGAAGTCTCCTTCAGCGTGGCCCACTGCAGCGTGGAGAGGAGGCTGGTTGCCCCACATAGCTGCCTTTGAGAGGACCAACACTCATACAAGCTGGACAGCTGATCCCCTCCCGAGTTGCCCATGGCCTCACTGAGCCCAAACCCAGTCTGTAGTGTTTCTACCATACCAGATGGAGGAAGATGCACACTGGCTGGTGTGGGCACTTCTGAACTGAGCTCAGCAAGTCACATTTGTCCTCGCAAGAGCTTTGGAAATCCAAGGAGCTTCCGCCCATATCTTCATCTTCCCTTTTTCTCTGCTTGTCCTCCAGCCCTGACACCAGGCTACAGCCACGTTCCCCGGGGCCTCCCTGGGAATGGCAGCTGCCTGCCATCAGGCAGACAGACGGCTGCATCACAGCCCCTTGCAGCAGCCAGCCAGCTCCAAAAGCTGCTCACAGCAAGCCAGATTTGTACAGGCAGTACCAGATTTTGGCCAAGTATGCTGGGCGGTCTCTCTGCAACTCACGTCGGGCAATTTCCTTCAGCTTTCCTGTTGGTATTTTCCTGCACACAACGTATTATGACAGCAATGTTCTTCCAGGAAGGTTTGTTTGGATCCTAATTAGACCCAATGTATACGTTGCCATCGCTGAGTGCTGGTTTCAGACATCCCAGGCATGAGATTATGCTTTAGGGTTTAAAGCCCTTTCCTGATTTCTGCTTATCTTCGTGCAAGAGATCAGAATCTGCCCCGAGACATTAGCACAAAGCTAAACACAGCCCACTCTGACCTCAAAGAGCCAAGCTAGCAATTAGGCAGAAGGAACCAGCATCTCCAAGTCTGTGACCTGCAGGCCTCAACAATACCTCTCATAGCAAGGGGACACACAGCGCCAGGCTGAGAAGAGGCAGCAGCTGCTGCTTGCTCACCAAGAACTGCAGGATGGAAGAAAAGGGTTGCCACCAGCCTCTTTGCAATCTCACCTTTACCTTCAGCTTCACTGGGGGTCATGCCCTTGTCTTGCAGCAAGGGAAATGAAAATTTCTGTCATGTAGTTTTGTTTGTCTTTACATCCCAAAGAAAGGAAGAGACACTGACATGTCAGAAAGTAGAAAAACAGGAACTAGAAAGCACCCTAGGATGACTACCCAACAGTGACTTTGTTAGACAGCCACATCATTTGGAATGAAACCCTGCAAAATCTAAAATCTTCTGCAAACCCCAGCCTAATTACAGGGTCTCCAACCCAGCAAAAGTCCACGTAGAGAAAGCAGAGATAGGGGAAGAGCTTCTGTTCCCAGGTAAAACACCCCTAAATGTGCAGGCTTTGAAAAATTCATGGTGTTTCTATTTTTTCCAGTGAAATTTGGGGACAGAAGTGAAATAACCACCCAGATGGTAAGATCCCAAGAAGAGAAGCTGTTTGATGCCAGTTTACAGCCTATGGCTGGTCAGTCAAAAGCATGCATCCAGTTCCATCTTTTAGCTCCTCCACTCCTGGACATTTTAATGCCACAGATAGATAATTTGTCCCTGGAGTGCTAATTAGCACCAGAAAAACAGAGCAGACAGCTGCCAGCATAGTGCCTAGGATGTGCTGCCGAACTATCATTAGATTCATTACCGTCTTGGCATTTAAAAACCTGAAAAGCCCCCATGGCCACTATCAGCCTCTGTACAAATCAACGCACCACACAGACCACAGCCGACAGGTCTGTGCAGAAACAGGAATGGAACATGTATTCCACAAAAGAAAACATATCAAATAAAAGTTATCCAGTAAACCACTTCCAGAAAGCCAAGCCAGGAGCCAAGCAGGATACAAAGCAAAGGACTTTGCTAGAGTTCTCTGGAGCAAGATGGGCCCTGGTCACACTACTGCCACACTGGGAACACCAGGGAATA